TACACAAACCTGTATTTTGCAGATTTCCTCATAATATTTTACATTTAAACGTAGGAAATTAAAAAGTGTTTCGTCTTTCCAAAATACACATTCCTCAGTAGTTTCTCAATGGAGAGTAAAGTTCATCTCAACGCAAAAAAGTTGAAACTGGTGTTCGTAAAAAACGCTTTGATACAAAAAACATTAAAAAAGTCAATGTGAACCTCAGCACCTCATAGCCTCATCTACATCCTCTCCCACATTCGGTCTAAAAACACTGATGGCTTCATGCGACTGATACAAACGTAGTTTTGTGTGTGTTTGTTGTCTCCTGGTCAAACTACTGATCTGTCAACAAGTTCACACTCGCGTCATAAAGTCTCGTCTTTGCCTGTTTTTTTCCCTTTTTTTTCTTGACTCTCACACCCTCATTTATGACTCCAGGAGTCTGTGCAGATGGGGGGGCATTTTGTGGTTGGTTCAGCGTTTCCTTGCTCATTTTGTCAGAAACGTCACAACATTCTTCAGCACCACAACTCTCCATTCCGGCCGAAGGAGCGGCCGACTGTTTGCCTTTCTTCTTGTGTGAAACTGAGCTGCAGCTTGTCACTGCAGCTCCTCCTGATTCCACACTGTCAGTGGCAGGTGTCGGACTCTCTTGTATCACATGGTCAGTCTCAAATTTAGGCTTTTTCCTTTTCTTCTTTCTTAAAACCACATCCCCATCAGTTTGAGAATACCCTGCATTGCCCACACTTTCTAATCTTTCCATGGCGGTCACCGACTCACTTTCATTACCTTTCGATTTATTTTTTCTCTTTACCCTCATCTTATTGGCATCAGGCAAAAAACTCTCACACGTTTCTCTCGGTTCCTCAAATTCCAGTTCACAATATTTCTGCACACTCTCCTCCACCTTTCTCTTCCTTTTCTTCTTCCTGGCCACATTGTTTGTTTCCTCCACATTTCCAGCAACTTCTGCTGATTCAGTCTCTGGAGCACCACTGCTGACACCAGGCTTTCCTGCACCACAGACAGGAGCGGCTGCAGAGTTTGAACAAGGCGAGCTTTGTTCCTCGTGCGTCTGAGCATCTTTTTCCTCTGCATCAGCAACAAGGAAGGAAGAGGTCCTCGTCTTTTTCCGCACAGACACTGAATCATCGCTTTGTGCCACAGCATCCTCTAAAGCGGCTCTGCTAAGCATTTCGCTCTTTTTCTTCTTCTTTGTCTCTGATTCAGCATCTCTGTGGTCAGAGCCCTCCTTTATTGTCTGTGAATGATCTCCATCAACTTTTTCATTTCTGTCAGGAGTGCAATAAACATCTACACCCTCTGAGGTGCTTTCCCTCTTCTTCTTCTTCTTCTTCTTCTTCTTTTTTGTCACAGATTCAGCAACTCCATCATTAGCACCTTCCTTTGTTTTCTGGGAATAATCTGCATCATCAACCTTTTGGTTTTCATGAAATGTGCCAGAAATATCTACGCCCTCAGAGGTGCTTTCCCTCTTCTTCTTTTTCTTCTTCACAGACTCAGGAGCTCTGTCGCCTGAGCCCCCTCCTGTTTTATGGGAATGAGCTGCATCATAAACCTTGTTTCTTTCGTCAGAAATGCAAGAAATATCTACCCCTTCAGAGGTGCTTTCCCTCTTCTTCTCCTTTATCTTCTTTTTCTTCACTGTACTTTCTTCAGTACTTACATCAACAGACAAGATCAAATCTTCGGCTCCAACTTCTACATCATCCTGGTCAGCTGATGGACGCTTCTTTTTATGCTTTTTTCTTTTCTTTTCTGAAATGGGTTCTGATCGTTCCTGAGTGGATTCTATATTTTCTAAACAATCTCCTGTTTCCTCTAACTGCCTCAGAGCTACACCTGAGGTCATATTCAACACTTCTCCTTGTTTTTCCATATTTACAATCTTTTCTTTTTTCCTTTTTTTCCTTTTTGTCAGTATCTCACCATCATCCTTTATTGGCTCTGAAACGACACTTGACTTTAACTTCTCATCATCCACAACACCGTTTTTCCCCTTTTTCTGCTTCTTGTCCTCGCCACCATTCACCACGTTACTTGTCAGTGATTCCTTCTCCACTCTCATTTCAGATTCGAGGTTTCCACCTTCCTCCTGTCCAACTTCACCTGCTGCCGGCTTCTCTTTCCTCCTCTTTTTCATTTGTTTGGAATCCGGAATGTGTCTCTCCTCCTGTCTCGCTATGACATCATCATGTAACATGTTCTCGGGCTCATCACGGGTCTGCATCACCGGAGGCTCTGCTCGGTTTTCCTCAGTAGGGCTGGGAGTCCTTCCTGCCTCCACCTCCACAAATCTTGCAGCGTGCAGAACTTCTGGATCTTCCTGACTCTGTCCCCTTCTTTCATCATCTCCTTTTGCTTTTCTCTTCTTCTTCAGCCTGGTTTTATCGCACACACTCTCATTATCAGTGCCACTTACAGGTTCTTGGGGACTTTGGAGAAGACTCTTGCTTGCAGGTTCTTTTTCTGCCTGTTCCATCTGGGATAGACCATCTGTGATGAAAACATCAGCTGGCAGCTCTGTAACATCTAGTGATGCTTCTCTGTCCTCAACTGTGTCTTGGAGTCTTGGACTTCCCTGTGGCTCAAGTCTTTCACAATATGTAGCATCACTATCATCACACAGCTCTTCCTCCCTTTCTTTCCCTTGAATATATTTCTTGTTTCCTTGGGTTAGACGTCTCTCTGTTGTTGGCGTTTCACTATGGGCCAGGATGCTTCTGTTACTCGTCACTTGTTTATCCCTCGTCTCCTTCTCAGCCAGAACACTTTGAGAAGGACCTCCATCATCAGAGCTCTCTGTATGTGAAGAAAACTGTGTCCTCGTTGATATGAACCCTTTAGCCGGTATATGATGTTGCATTATCCTTTGTCTTTCTTGTGACGTTTCTTGTCCTTTACTTGCTTTCCTCTTCTGTTCATTCACGCTGCTGCCTTTTGTCTCTGGGCTTTTCGGAGGTTGTGAGCGCTTTGTTTTTGATGGCTTAAAAACAAAACGTTTCCTTTCCTGTAAGATGACAAATGCAGAGTGAGTTCGCACTAAAAAAGCACTTTGAAATCCATGATTTATTTGTTTCGACAGGAATCTTACCACCACTTTGATGTCCACACTGTCTGACCCTTCTTCCTCGTCTCTATAATATAATAAAAATGTTTAATAACAATAAATCGTCATAACTTTTATTTGCATAGATAGCAACATTTTATTCCAGTTAGTAAAAGAATTAGACCTAAAATACTAAAAAAAGATAAGAGGGAGTAAAACCTTTCAAACTAGATTTGCCACCCTGTGGTTGTATGCCTCCTTCTAGGTGGTTAAGGTCACCGTGACTGTTGATCACCTGAATATAATCCATTAATCTAAGTCTGAAGGATATTTTGTGCCGAATCAAATTATACTATTCTTGGGTCCCACTGAACTTTTGTACCAAATCTGAAGTAGTTCCCTCAAAGTGTTCTTAAGGTATCATATTCACAAGAATGGAACAGACAGAACTCCGGAAAACATAATGTCTCTGGCTCCTGGCTATCACCAGCACGGAGGCATACAAATAAATACAGTTCAGACCAAAAATTACTAATGGCTTCATGTATAAGTAAAAATGAAAAGTATAAATATGTAGATTCATATCAACACCTTGAGCTGCAATTACATCTTCTGGTGGACTGTTCGGAGCATTAAGACAAAAATCGGCCTCATCAGTCATTTTTAGGGACAATATTTGACAATTAATTTTTTTATCTTATATTAATTATGCGTAAATGTTTGTTGACATTAATCATTTTACAATGAGAAGAAGGAGACTGACTTTGCTGCGAGGATCTCAGTCTTAGAAGCAAAGAGTTTATGTGTAGTTGAGGTAGTGTTCATGCATTTTGCTTTTTAAAAAAAACTTACACATACAACTTAAAATATGCCTGATTATCCTAGACTTACTCTGACAGCGGGACTATACATCGTCCTTCCACGTCAACTGTTGGTAATGATGAAGGCAGATCATCTCCCCTCTGACGACCCTGCTGCAGTTCTTTGACACATTTGAAGAAGCCTCCCATCGCATGATACTGTAAAAAGAGAAAGAGTTCAGCACTAAATTACTTTAGGATTTATTACAGCGAGTATAAAAAAGCATATGGAGGCAGTGCTTACATGAAGGGCTGTGTTGTGCCGCACAGATAACCGAGCTCTCCTGTGCCTCCTCTCCGAGAGGAAAGGAAAATTGTACTGCGGCAGCCTGAATTTCTTTCTCTTTGTCCCACTCCTCTTTTGGACAGTGTTGGACTCTCCGTTGGAGGGTGAGGAGTCTTCTTCCTCTAGCTGTCTGATGGATGCTGGCTGTGACCTCTGGCTGTAGGACCGCTGTCTTCTACTTGACCTCTGGGCCTCGGGCGCAGGTTTCTGAGTGATGAACAGGCTGTCTCCTGAATCACTGGGGAGACACAGATAGACAGTGACAGAGCAGGATGATACAGGAGCTCAGAGACTGATCCATCACGTGAGGGCCATCCTTACCTTTCTGCTTCAGCTGGGTCATCACATGCCTGATCCTGTGTGCTCTGTCCCCCAACATATCGCGAGACTTCCTTCGCACAGTCTGGAGGGGACGCTTCCAGAGCAAAGTGGCAAGACTCCGCTGATAGAGCTTCTGCAACATCATCGAACTGAGTGAACTCCAGAGTTTTACGCACTCTTGTCATTGTGGAGCTCTGAGGGAAAAAAACGCGATCTGAGAGTTTTCTTTGGCAGGAAACAGCACGAGGGTGAATCGTGATGCTGTAAACACGTGGGTCGTCTCTGTTTTACAAGTCTCCTGCAGATGCACAGTAATAATGATTACTTTGCATCTCGCTTGTGTCTCATAACGACGTGTAGCCGGGTCAAAACAAAAACAGACAGAGACACTTCACATGTGTGCAGGAGAACCAGGAAGTGATTGTACCAACGTGACTCGTCACATGACCAATCACCAGCCAATCAGCAAAGAGAAGATGGCAGTAACCATCAACAGAAACAAGAGGATTTGCTCTTTTACACTTCCGCTTTCGTCTTCAACGATTCCCTCCACTGACCCTGAGTTTATTTCAGCCCACAGAAATCTCATGTATACATTTATTTATCTATTCCAACCATGTAGACATTCGTGTTGTTATCTCTAATGTTGGAATAAGTACATATTTATATTTTTTCGGATTGTTTAAATGAATGAAAATTATTAGATTTATACAAATGGATGTAAATATAGCCTATTAAATCATCACAAAAAAGAAAAGTGGTTTATTCTGGGCTAATAAGTTATTACGTTATCAGATATGAACAGAGTTTAATAAAGTTTATTCAAATTCAGTAAGTTCTCATAAAGCATAGACGATGAAACCCTATATGGGGTAGGGACTATCTTGCCAGTGTTTTTACTCTTGGGTTGTACTTGAACCAAACTGGATGTGGAGCTGAGACAGTGACCTCCCACCTCCTCTCCTGCAGCGTCACAGTCTGAGGACGCTCACTAAACGACTGGAGTTATGGCAGAAACCAGCAAAACTGAGAGGGTCCAGCTGCACGCTCCACATCTGGAGGAGCTGCGTGGGGGTAAGAGCTCAGATGACACACACAGGCAGAGACCCGTGGTTAGAACAGGATGTTCACTAACATGAGCTCATGTGTTGTCTGCTGGTGACAGTGCTGCAGGCAGGACTGCAGGAGAACTTTGCAGAAGTTCAGGTGAGTGTTGTGGAGTGTCCAGATCTCACCAAAGAGCCATTCCACTTCCCTGTCAAAGGTAGGAACACACCATACTACTACTACTTCTACTACTGTAAACTCAGTTTGCTCCCCACCTTCTGTTGCTGCCGTATAAACCCATTGTTCCACCTGTTACTACAAAAACTCACCAGCATCAAATACACTGCATTAAAAATCATCAGCCTGCCCACACCCTAAATCTCAGACATGAACGACAGCCCTCACACACAACAACCCTCTCATTCCCCTCTTCCTGCCATCCAGACGTACAGGTAGAGAAGTCTTAAATGGAGAAGGGCCCATTTCAGCAGGAGCATTACCCCAAATTTCCCATTGGGGACAATAAAGTCTAAACTCAACTACTTCTATTACTTTTACTACACTTTATTCATATGCCACAGTCTGCAGAGCTGCCAAGAAATAATGCACAACAATACACATCTAGATATGAGAATTGTGAAAATAATGTAATGTAATGAAGCATGAAATTTGAGTTGTTGTTACTTTCCAGATTGTGTGTCGTAACACTGATTAAGCAAACAATATGTGTGTGTGTAACATTTGAGGCCTCGCAGTTGTGCGTCACATTTTTTATTTATTATTTTTGGTTTATTTGTCAGGGACAGATACCACATTTAGTTACAGTCATATTTAGTCATGTCAAATACTGCAATTTTGCACCTTGTCTTTGTGTCTTACTCTCTGTGAATGTTGAACTGCTGCTGTGACACAACAATTTCCCAACTGGGATCAATAAAGTTCATCTATCTATCCATCTATCTTCACATCGACAGACCGAGACCAGTGAAAGAAAAAAAGGAAAAAAAGAGATAAAAGATATAGATGAGAAATAAACAACATATAATAAGGCACAAGTAAAAACTTTACAGACTATCCGTTGGTGCAAGTTTGTTGCTGAATAAGAAGGACTTGTCTTTTAAAATTTATGAAGTTTGCAGTAAATTTCAAGTTTTCTCTTGATCTCTATATTGAAGGCCTGTGTGGAAGTCCTCGAATCACTGATGTTGGCGGTGTGCCATACCTGGTTCCCCTGGTTCAAAAGCACAAGGTAGCTTCTTCCACCACACAATGGGCAGTGTACGCACAAACTGCATGGTGGTAATGTGAAAAGAGGTGTAGTCCCCCGACCTGCTGCATGTTCATGTTGTCTCCTTCCAGGAATACAACATGAACAGTATATCTAAAGAACTGGAGCTGCCAGGAGCGTTCATCCTCGGTGCTGCAGCGGTTCCCTCCAGGATCGTCGGAATGAACGCAGAGGTTAATTCACCAACAATACTGCGGCGGTAAGCCATGTCATTGCAAACGGTATTTGAAATACTCTCTTTCCCACAGCTGATGCCTGCGATTCTCACAGAAGCAGAGGGGAGGCCAGCAGTGAACAGCAGTTACTTCTCCTCCATCAACCCCGCTGACGGCCAGTGTCTGCAGGAAAAATACAGTGACAAATTCTCTGACTGCAACTTTGGACTGCTGGGTAATCTCTACGCATGTGAGGGGCAGCCTGGAAAGGTATTCAGTCGCATCTTAGCAAACTAGATCTGCAGCTCTTTCCCCCAGAGAATGAACGATGGTGCTTGCACTGCAATTCCTTCAAAAATGCATTGTCATTATTCACTTTGTTGTTTTTCTGCCAATAATGAACTTTCTGGTTATATATGAACTTAAAAACCATTATCTACAAGTTAATAACCAAGTTCTAATGCATGAACTTAAGCCTTGTCAACACTTGCCTATGCTCCTGATGTTTAAAAGAACAAACATTGACAAAAGGACTGTGACTGAACATGCTGACCTGCTGTGCCCTCGTCACCCGTGTGCCCCACAGGTCATAGAGGTGCGAGCAAAGAAGAGAACAGGAGACCACAGTCTCGTGACAGCCTTGAGGACCACTCTTGAAGGACACTACCCGAATAAAAGCCTGGCGCTCGGAGGCACCTTCATCATCCAGAAAGGGAAAGCGAAAATCCACATCATGGTAAATAACGGATGTGACACAGAAAACTTAGTGCTGTCAGTAATGTGTGTCGATTCATTTTCTTGTGTTGGGTTACCAATAGCCGAGAGAGTTCTCAGTCTGCCCCCTCAACTCCAACGATGAGGTCAACAATTGGCTCAAGCACTTTGAGGTCAGCGCTCCGCTTATCTGCCAGTCGGTGCTCGTTTCCAAGGATCCTGTGAGTAAAACAAATAGTTTAAGAGAACAGTGACACAGACTAACCCAGAACTGGTGTTAATATCCATCCTGAGTGAGCCGATCATAAGTGGTCAGCGCTAATTTCAGGTCTGACTGGCTAGCTGATCACTCAAATTCAAAATCCTCTGACCTGCAACAGTTTAAACTTCCAGTGTGTAAGATTTAGATAAAAGGGATCTATTGGCAGAGATTTATAGAATAATCCTAGTGATGTTTTCACTTATGTGTTTTATCTTAAGTGTTGTTTTCTTTACCCTAGAATGGGCTCTTTATATTCAAATACTTTATATTTACATCAGGAGCGGGTCCTCTCTCCGGAGGCCGCCATGTTTTTTACAGTAGTCCAGACTGGACAAAATAAACACTTTTTGAGTTTTTATGTCAACTGCAGACCACAGGTTATCTTTCATGTTTGGAAGGGGAGAGTGAGGTGTGGGGTATTCAGCTGCAACAGGCAACTTCACCACTAGGTGTCAGTAAATCTTACACACTGAACCTTTAAATGTATTCTTACTCTTTTTATTTTCCATACGAGTTTTTTTTGCGGCTACAATATCAACACTGATCACTACATAATGATTTATACTTTTCTTTAAGTGTTAAAATTATTCTTTGTGGCACAGGTGCTTGCTCACTCGCTCATGTCAAAACTCAAATAATTTGATCTTTGCAAACACAAATGACATAATAAATAATTATTTAGATATAGAACCGGAAAGTGAGATCCAATCACAAGTGGACACAGTAGACACATTCAGGACAATTTAATGTCAAGTGTGAACACACTTACTCACTAATGTCCTCATGTGACTAGATCTCTCAGGACAGATGTTAATACCAGGTCTGAACGGGGCCACAAATGAAACAATATCAGTTTATGGTGTTAGCACCCATCAGAAGTGCATTTACAAACTGTTTTGTAATGTGTCTGTTGCTTCAGGGTCTTGACCTGCGTGTGGAGCACACCCATTGCTTCAGCCATCATGGAGAAGGTGGCCACTACTACATCGACACCACACCCGACAGTGTGGAGTACTTGGGCTACTTTATGCCTGCGGAGTTCGTCTACCGCATCGACAGACCCACAGAGACCCACAGAGTTGGACGAGACTGAAGAAGAAAATCATTCATGAAGTGTGCAACAAAGCACCTCTTGATAATCTAAATGTGTTTTATTATGAAAATGATTAGTTAACATTACGTCTGTGAATTTTTGCTCTTAAATCACATTTCCCTCTCAAGATTCTTCGCATTTCTCCTCAAACAAAATCACCATATCACATGAAATAAAAACAAATTTAAAGTTTGGCTGTTCAATGACTGCAGAAACACAAACTGTGTAAACACAAGCATTTGTTACCTCTGAATAGATAGTTGATCTGGGACTTAGATACACATCGTTGCCTGCCAGCCCCAGTGTGTTAGAAAAGCAGATCAAATGGGACAGTTGCAGTAAAGTCTAGTTTGTTACCGTTTGCCCAGGCAGAGGGAGAAACAAGCATTTTGCATTGTGTTAAACTAAAATGTAATGAGTCAAGTTGATGCTAATTAGACGGTCAACTCTCCCTTACTACTAACTTTGCTACTGCAACTCCCACTTGGCTGGTCTGCCTGCTAATGCCATCCGACCCCTGCAGCACACCCAAAATGCAGCAGCTTGACTGGTTTTTAACTGACCTATTTTCACTCACACTTCACCGCTCCTCTGCTCCCTTCTCTGGTTACCAGTGGCCTTCGCTTCAAGACACTAGGACTTGCGTACCGTGCTGCGAACGGATCAGGCCCAGTCTACATCCAGGACATGGTTAAACCTTACACCCCAGCCTGTCCACTCTGCTCTGAATCCGCCAATCGGCTTGCTGCTCCCTCACTGCGAGGGACACCTAGCCACCCAACAAAATCACGAATATTTGCTCCCGAATGGTGGAACGAGCTCCCCATTGACATCAGGACAGCAGAAAGTCTACATGTCTTCTGCTGCAGGCTAAAGACACATCTCTTCCTACTACACCTTGGATAAGAAGATGATGTCTAATAGCCATTGTCAACACTGGTGTTAAAAAAGATAAGAGAAACTTTAGTTGCACTTATATATGGCACTTACATGTTGTGGTTTGACTTT